GCCACTGACAGCTCTCCTGATGGCCAAGGCTGGAACAACTTAAACAACACAGTAACCAGCGATGGTACTGGATAATAACCCAAACGTCGGATAGACATCCACGAGTCCACAGCGATAGAAACAAACAACTGGTAAACAATAAATGGGGGAGAAGAGACAACTCTTGCTTACAGAAGAATCCCAATTAGTAAATGGAGACAGGACAAGCGAATGGGAAAATCATTCTTGGAATACGATCACAGGGGTAATTACAGCAGGCAAGCTCCATGGACAGATGCAAAAGTCAGTGGTGGAAGTTTAAGGAGAAACCAGACATTTGCACAATCTCAAAGTATCTCCATCAAAACAGTTACGAGCTACAAAGGGAAAAAGAGTGATTTGATGGTGGAGTATCTTGGCACACATCGCCTTAATCAAGTGAGAAAGGTCACACCGCTGGTAACAGACACACGGAAATCAGGCTCCCGACATGGTGCACTGAGAGGGCAGGTCCCCTCTGCGCTCCATCTAATCACGAGAAGACACCGGACAAACCCAGACTGAGGGACCTGGACAAGAGACTGTTCAGTGCCCTTGAAATGTGTCGAGGCTACAAAAGATGAGGCCAGTCTGAGAAAACATTAGAGTGGAGGAGATTAAGGAGACACAATGAAGAAATGCCACGTGGGATCCTCATGGGATCTGGAACAGAAAAGGGACGAGTTAGAGGGAAAACTGGGGAAGTCCAAGCAAAGTCCACGTTTTAGCCACTAGCATCCCACCAGCGTCCGTTTTCTGGTTTGGACCCTTGTGCTGTGGCTGTGCAAGAGGTGAGCATGAGGGAGGCTGCTGAAGGGCGTATGGGGACTCTCTTTGCAATTCTTCTGTCAGTGTGAAATTATCTCAAAATTAAGATTAAAAAGGAAAAGTCAGTGCAGGGACGGTGTGGGGACGCCCTCTGTCCAGAGTGGCTGGCTCCCAGCCCCTCCCGCTGCACCCCAGACCTGCGGCTGGGGGCCAGCTGCTCGCTCCTGCTGGCTCCTGGAGCGCCACTCGGGGGTGCCTGCGGCAGGGCCGGGGGCTGCGCTGAGCTCTCGGGCTCCTCCCGCGCTGGCGGGCCACCGCTGAGCTCCACACCGGCCTGTCGAGGGCCCAGCGAGCTGGGCGAGCCGGGGACCTGCTGCTGCTCTCCCCCAGACGGAGAGGGCAACTTCCCGCGGGGCTGGGAGAGTGGCGGGAACAACTGGGTGGGCTTCAGTGGGCTCATTTAGACCCCACAGTGCACAGATCAGTTTATTTTTTCATTTCACAGAGGAGGACACTGAGGCTCAGGGAAGAGGGGCCATGGGCCTGGCCCACACAGCCAGAGGGTGTCCAGGGCCTGAGCTCTCTCCAGGGTGGCGCTGTCAGAGACCCCCCACCAGGGCTGCTCCTCTGAAGGGTCAAGGCTGCCCACAGGCCTTTGGCTTTGCACACGCCTCCGGGAAGCCCCCCCACCCCCCCGCAGCATCCCTGGGGCTTCCTGCCCTGGCGGCTGTGAGCCCGAGGGCAGGGTCTGTGCGGTGCCCTATCATTGCCCCCTCGCGCCCCCGTGGAGGCCCCTCATCCTCTCAGGTGCCGTCCTTCCATCCTGCACCTCAGGAGGCTCCTCTCGTGAGATTCAAGCCCGTGGCCATCTGGCCTGAAGTCGAATGCGGCCTCAGCCCTGGTGACATTGGGTCAGCCTTGCACCCCAGCCTGGTCCCAGGCCCCCATTCTCCCTGTGACTGTCCCTGCCTGCACCCACTTCCTTCCTCCCCCCCCCCAGCATCCTCTTCAAAGTGGCTGACACGGGGTGAGGCCAGCTGCGGGCCAGCAGCTGCGAGTGGGTGGGGTCCTGCTCTCCTCTGACTGCGCCCCTGGCGTGGAGTCCTCATTGAAGGCTAAAATGGTCGAGGAAGCACTTTCCCCAGGGAGGGGGACGCACTGCGAGCCCTCGGGCCCTGCTCCATCAGGCGGGTGACTGGGCTCTGCCGGTGCCATGGCTCAGAGAAAAAGACACCAGTGACAGCGGTGGGTGGTAAGTCCCGAGAGGAAGGAACCTCGCTGGCAGAAGCTCTCTGAATTTCAAAACGCTGGGCTGGTGAGATAAGGTCTGGAAGGACAGAGACCATTCATGTTGAGGCAGCAGGAGCCTAAGGACAGGGTGCTTGTTTCAGTCTACCCAGGATACTCTCTGGATGAGTACTGTGTTGACTGCTCTCTATTGCCCCCCCCAGACCCACTCTGCACCCCCATCCTGGCTGTGCCTGGAAGCTGGCCTTGATGCCTTCCCACAGGCTCCCTGGCCTTGGCGTCAGGTTGGGGTCAGCCACTGGAAGGGTCAGTAAGAGGAGGGTGTGGGAGGAGAGAGGTCAGGGTGTTTACCCCCCGGCTCCTTCCCTACTGGGCCACACAGACCACCGGGTCATCTCCACAGACGCAGCTTTTGCTAACTCCCTTTGCTTCATCCTTTTGGGGTGCAATGGCTCCCCAGAGTCCCTTGTGAGTGGCCTTAGCCCTGTCCACACCTGCGCACACGGCTGCTTCCTCAAGTCTCGTTCACCCTTGGATGATCCCACTGCTTCCCACAGGGTTCTGCTGATACAGCGCCTGAGAAAGGGCACGAAGCTTCCGGGTGCAGTCAGCTGTTCACTTGGAGAGCCTCATTCAGTCTCCGTGAGGGGACCCTCAACTGCAAGGCTGTAAAATGACCACAAAGCTTGCAAAACGCTGACTGGTCGTCCGCTCCAAGGAAAGCCCGCTGCCGCCGGAGACAGCATCAGCCCCCTGAGGCTGTAAGCATCCTCACCGCACTCATCCAATTTGTGTTAGCTGATCTGTCACTGCTTTGCACATTGGGAAGAGTTTTCGTTTTTTACTTGCAGGCCCACTTATACGTTCAGCAGATTCAAATGCAACCCCCCACCCCTCTCTGTGAGTCTTGCCCGGCCTGCCCTCACTGCCCTCGCCTCTGGTTCTCTGCCTATTCCTGCTCAGCTCCCTCTCCTCGGACAAGGCAGCTCGGCCTAGGATTTCAATGCCAGGTCCTCTGAAGCCCTCATCAGCTATTCACATCTGACTAAGAATTACCTGGCAGCCCACCAGGAACGGATGGAGACCAACTCCTGGCACCAGGGTGCCCACGAGCTGGAAGAGGCGGGGGGAGCCCAAGGCACCCAAAGAGAGAAGCAGGCAACTGCAGAGGTCTGGGACCTCAGTCACAAGCTTTATTGTCTCGAGCACAGACTCGCCACACTTCAACAATTCCACTTTGGGAAGGGGAAGGGTGTGGGGGGGACTTGGGGGGGCATGGCTGGGCCCACACTGGGCAGGCAGAGAGGCTCACAGGGAACTCGCGTCTCTGCCACCTGCCACCTGCAAGCCCTCCTGGTGTGGGCCTGCGCTGTTAGTAGACTAGTCGGTGCCTCCTGTGGGCGGGGCAAGCTGCCTGATTTTGCTGGAAAGAGTAGTACTTGCCTCTGGGTTAAGCTACTACAGCACTGCTTCTGGACTGTTGTTAATACACTGCATGCGAGAGCTGCCGAAAGCCAGGGGGGAGAGGAGGGGCCTGGGGCACTAAGCGGCTGTCCCCGAATAGGCTGCACTTGGGCAAGGACGTGACCACCAGCCGCCTGTACGGGACTGCCGCGGGCTGCCCGGCTGCTTCCAGGACAGGAGCCGCACGCCTGTCCCGGCACACTTGGGAATGCCACGATGGGGCATCAGATGCCCCCTCTGGCTCGGGGGGAGGGCCCCATGTGAGGACTCCCTGCGCTGGGGGAGGTAGGGGCTGTTGGGCGCTGGCTCCCCCCCACGCCGAGGCCTGCAGCAACTCAGCAGCCTTGAAAGGAAGGAAGAGAGGCAGTTACATTTTTCTTGCCACCAACATCCTGTGGGCTGTTTTCCTGGCTTCAGGAGATGGGGCGTAATAAGCTCTGGGCAGGCCCCTGGTGAGAGTGGAAGGGGCTGTTAGTACGTGTGCGTCCAGGTGCATGTGCCTGGCAGACACATCCCTGAACGCTCACCCACGTGCACCCGGCTGTGTATGTGCACAGCTGGGTCACAAGAACGTTTTCGGTGTGTCTGGGCACAGCCCTGCCAGGCCTGGGGCTCAGCCCTGGAACTGAGTGCCTGCAGCCTGAGCACGGGTGACTGCAGAGGCCCCACACACACAGCCACACGTGCACGGCGACCTCTGGGTGTGCGTGCACCAAGGGTCGGCGGTGCGTACACCAGAGCCGGCCCGGGTGCATCTGCAGGTGGGAGGCCCAGTTTTGGAACATTTGGTCGACCCACGGGACACTATATTCCTGAGCAGTCAAAACACGCCTGCAGCCCTGGCTCGGGGCTCCCTGCGGCTGCCCTGCCCTGGCTCCCAGCAGGTCAGTGGTGGTGGCGGGGAGAGGGGCTTCCAAACTTTCCTAACACTGTGGCTCGGGCCTTGGGGACCACTCTCTGGCCAGCAGCTTGGAGCTGTGTGTGTGTTGGGGTTGGGGGGAAGACCACGCCCCCCAACACCTTGAACCTGGTGCCTTGCTGGGCAGATGGCTGAGAGGAACTTGTCCCACCCTTGAAGGAAGCTCGGTGTGTGGGGACAAGAAACTCTGCGCACTGCCTTGGCCTGGAAGCGGCAGCAGGAACAGGCGCGCCTCCGGCTCCTCAGGCCTGGCCTTCCCTCCTCGGCACCTGCAAGGAGAAGCTGGCCTCCTCCGACCCCTTCCCGGGACAATGGCTCTCTGGGGTCTCAGGGGGACCCGGGAGAAGGAGGGAAGGGGAGGGCAGGGCCGTGCTCAGGGCCAAGAGAGTCCTCAGGGCAGCTCTTTCTGGGGAGAGGGGCCTGGCCGGATTGCCCTGGCCTCCCCAAACAAACTCCAGAAACTGTCGGGGCATCTTGGGTGCCCAGGCAGAAGGTCCCGGGGGGCCAGGCCGGGGCCATCCTGCTCTCCATGGAAGGCCGTGTTTGAGGAAGCCTCCTGATCCGGCAGGGGTGTCGGGGGCGGGGGACTGTCCTCGGCGGTGGGGACGTTATTGTTACAAACACTGTTCTTGTCTCCAAAGTGACAGCCCTGGCCCCTGCCTGGAAGGGGCACTGCTGGGGCAGGCCGGAGAGGTGTGGTGTGGACTGGGTCGCTCCACGGTGTCCCTCAGGGTCAGTGCTTGTCCTGGAAAGAGCAAGGTCTTGATCAGCAAATGTCTCCAAGAGCCTTGAGTGCGGGGGGCGGGTGGGGGGGGCCGAGCAGGTAGGAAAAGGGGTGGTTGTGGGCTGGGAGAGGAGAGCCCACCTGTGCCAGGGAGCGGGAGCAGCACATACAAAGGCCCTGGGGCAGATGTCTCTGCTGTGGGTCTGGGGCATGGTGAGACAGGAGGAAGAGGAGCTGTTTAGGGGAAGCTGAGGGAAGAGGGGAGAGCAGGCGGTCTAGAGAGCACCAAGCGCCTGTAGGGAGGCGAAGCCGAGGAAACGGAAACGGGCTGCGACTCCAAGGCTCAGCTCGCACATCTGCAAGCCGGGGTGACCCCACGTGCCCCGCAGGGCTGCTGGGGGTACAAAGCCACACAGGTACGGACGTCAACTCCCAGGGTGCCGGGCCCAGGCGGCTGCTCTGCCGACACGACCACGCCACTTCCTACTGCGGCCGGTGCAGGCCCCCGCCCGTCTCTCTCTGTCCTCACCCACAGGCCGGCCCCCGGCAGGGTCCGTGCCCAGGCTCTCCTGCGTCGGGTGAGCCAGGGGCCCCACCGCCCGAGCGGGCAGGACGAGGGCCCAGCCGCGCTCCAGCCTCACCCGCCCACGCCACACGGCGGGCCGGGGCGGAGCTGGCGCTGGGCTCCCGCCCCCCGGCCGGCCGGCCCCGGGGCCAGGGGGGCGCCCGTGAGCTGTGCGGCGGGGCCGCGGGCACCCCAGAGCTCACACGGGAACGCGAAGACCCAGGCCAGCGGTCCCGGGGGCCCTGGGGCCCGCGAAGCGCTGCGAAAGCGGTTCACGCCCAGGTTTATAGAACCCGGAGCTTACGGAAACTGCTTGGGAGAGAAAACGCTCATGTTGAAGACGCCCATGAAAACAGGGGCGGCGCTGAGCGCAGAGCGAGCTGCCCGCCCTGCGGAAACGGCGCCCGGGCCGCCGCCCTCGGGGCCTGAGCCGCCCTCCACAGGCTGCTCGTCACAGCTCCGCGCGGAACGGGAACGCGCGAGCCGGCTCGGCCCCGGACTGCGCCTTCCCACACGGCGGGGCTCTTTTCCAGCACGTCATCGCCGCAGGAATCGGGACGCGGAGGAGCCGCCCGGGGCCAGGGGGCCGAGGAGGCCCGACCACCGAGGGCGGCCGGCTGGCGGCCCTGCGGCTCCCGCGGGCAGGAGGCAGCGGCGCGGCGTCTGGGCCTGAGAGCGGCCGCGTCGGAAAACCCCGCCCTGTCCTCAGGGAGCGCGGACCGACGATCCAGGCCCGCGACGGGGCACTCGCCTGCCAACGCTCGGCCAAGCCCGCCCGCCACGTCACACACGCCCACACAGAGTGCCGACGACCGCAAACGGGGGCAGAGGTTGCCCATATTCATGGCGGACAGCATGGCCATGTTCTAGGTACTGTTTTTTTGTGTGAGATCAGCCCTGAGCTAACATCTGCGAATCCTCCTCTTTTTGCTGAGAAAGACCGGCTTTGAGCTAACATCTGTGCCCATCTTCCTCCACTTTATGTGGGACGCCGCCACAGCATGGCCTGACAAGCGCTGCGTCAGTGCGCGCCCGGAACCCGAAGCGCGAACCGCCGCAGCGGAGCAGGCGCACTTAACCGCTGCGCCACCGGCCGGCCCCTCTAGGTGCTATTTTTATTCTTGCAACTTCTGTGAAAGTTTGAAATTATTTTCAGTCAACACTGGGTGCGGCGGCCACGCTCCGCCACGTCGGCACCCGCGCCGGGCACTCCCACGCAGACACGCGCTCCCGCCTGCTGAGCGCACGCAGTCGTGCGCGCGCGCCCCCGCCTGCCGACGCCCCGTCAGCGCCGCTCAGCGCGCTCCCGCCCCGGGCGCTCCGCGGACGGCCCCGCACACCCGCGACTCCGCAGCGCCCTGCCTGGGGGCGCTTTCAACAGCGGAACTCAACAAGCACAAGCATGAAAATGTGAAAACCGGGGCACTACGCAGGCCGCGCGGAGGACACCTGTTTCCAGTCAAGTGCGAGCTAACCCAGAAGGCAGAGCGCCGCCTGTTCCCCTCGGCGGGACCGCGCCTCCCCCTGCGCGTCCTCGAGGGACCGCGACGGGGCCTGGGCGCCGCCCAAAGCTGACTGAGCGCGCGCGTGTGCCCACACGGAGTCAGCGAACGAGGAGGCCTGGCTGCGCACGCGCACGCGCCTCGGCGTTCAGGAAGGACGTCACTGAAATGTGCTAGCCAGGGGCCCCTCTGGGGAAGAGAGCTGCCGCTGGGTGTTTTCTTCTTTATGTATTTTTGGGTTTTCTCCACACGTTTCCCAATAGGCCTGGATTACTTTACAATACACGGTTTTTAAAGAGAAAGCAGGTGAGAGGAGCAGCCTGGGACCCGACGCCGCTTGCCGGCACCGCCCGCTCCGAGAGGGACCCTGCTGAAAGCCTCCTCACAAGGCGGCTTCGTCGTTTGGGTGGCTTTTCGGGGCTCCGTCTCCAGAGACGTCGGCCCGACGGGAGGCCCAGCGCCCCTCACCTCCTGTTCCTGGGCCTGGTCTTGCTGGTGGACGCCGTTGGCAGAGCCGGAGCTGGCGAGGGCCTGGAAGAGGCAGGGCGGTCGCTGAGCGGGCCCCCCGGCCGCCCCGCAGATGGCCAGGCCTTCCCCACGCGACCCTCTCAGGCTCCAGCCTCGGGCCAGGGCGCTCCAGACGGGGGCTCCCAGGCCCCCGAGACCAAGGCCGCATGTCCCCCTTGGCCCGAGCTCCCTGCGGTACAGCGCGTACCCCTTGGGCTGGGCCTCCCAGAGGACACGGCCGTCTGTCCCTCAGACCAGGGTCCCCAGGGCCGGGCCGCCTTCCCTGAGGACGCCGCCCCACGCGGGCCCCCGGTCAGCCAGCGCTGGCCCGTGGCTCACCTGGGCCTTGTCGGGGCAGCTCCTCATGGCCTCCACGAGCTTCTCCACCTGCTGAGCCTGGTCCAGCGCGGCGCGCAGCGCGTCCTCCGTGCCCATCAGCTGGCGCTGCAGCCGTAGGAGCTCGGGCGCCGAGGACGGGTCGCTGAGCGAACAGCGCCTCTGCTCCGACAGGGCCCTCTCCTTGTCCTGGGGCGGCAGGAGAGGGACGGCCATCGGGGTGTGTGCGCCTGGGTGCGAGGGCCTCTCGCTCTAGGCAGGAATCTCTGCCGGCCCACCTCGTCTCTGGGTCAGGCCTGAGCATCGCCAGGACGCCCCGGCCTCCCTCCCTCCCCCGAGCGTCCCGCTGCAGCACCTGCCCTGTCCCCGGCCGGAATCCCCAGCCCGCAGACGCTTCACTCTCTCCAAGTCCCCAAGTCCAGGACCCCTCCCTCCTTCCTTCTTGTGTCCCCCGACTCCCTCTACAGTCTCATGTGAGTCCCTGCTCTGCACCCCCAGACCCCCAGCTTCCTCATCGCCTACCCTATAGCCCACCTGAACCGCGCTCAGAACCCTCCCACAGCATCCCATGCCCCCTCCCCAGCAGGACATTCGTTTACCTTCCGCTTCCAAGCCCTCCCCAGCAGCCCCACCCACCATGGTGCCCCCTGGCTCCCACACAAACCGCCCACCAACGCCCCGGGGGCCGGGTGCTTCCAGGTCCCTCTGCGTGTCTCCGCCTCTCTATGCAAATCTCCCTCTCAACCCTTCCTCACTAGAGGAGGTTTCCACCCACCAAGCCCTTCCCTAGTTCTCCCACAGCTCTGGGGACAGTGCAGGGGGAGGGTGCCCCGGAGAAAAGGGCGGCCAGTTCCCACAGACACTGGACCAGCCTGTGCCCGATGGAGACGAGTCAGCGTGGCACTGGCCCCTCCCCGTGGCTCTTGGAAAGCGCTGGGGAATCAAACCCCAGGTCCCTGCCGGGCCCAGGCTCACAGAGTCACGAGGACCACAGAGGGCCCTGCTGGCCAGGTGTGCCAGGACTGCAAGGCCGCAGGGCGGCTGGGCAATCCCTTAACGCTGCAGGCCCAGGGCCTGCTCCCACGGCTGTAGGTGGGTCTTGGCTCTCCCTCCTGCCTGTGAGGCCCCCTTCCCCTTCCATCTCCTCCAGTGTAGCTGAGCCCGTGTGGCCGGGTGGGAGGGCAGAGAGTGACTGGCTTCCCATGACAGCAGGCCTGTCCTCCCAGACCCCGTCGTGTCCACACCCTGGAGATGACCAGGCCCAGGAACTGGCCACAGGCTGGTCCTGAAGGCTGACCACGGGGGATGGGGTGAGGATGGTTCTGTCCTGTGCTCCTAGCATCACCCTCCTGGCCCCGCCCTCACCTCTGGAGACTCAGCTCAGTCAGGTTCGTGCTCCTGAAGGAGTCTCAGCCCCCAGAATCTCAGGGTTATGGGAGGCTTTCCAGTTCCCATCTCCTTCCTGAGACCGATGTGTGAGTCCCCACCACAGGCCCCTGAACAAGAGCTGGTTTCTGGCTGCTTACTTCCCTGGATGGGACACTCCGCACCCTGCAGTAGCCCATCCTATCCCTGGGCAGGCCAGACTCTTAGGAACTCTTCTTTTGCATTATATCACCCAGACAGCCACACAGCCAGCCACAATGTCTGCCAAGAGGCCACCCGTGGCCCCCCCACCAGCTACAACCCAGACCCTGCTGTGGTTCTAGGGGACGTGAACCCTCACTGTGAGCTGGTGGTAGCTCCAGGAGGTCACCATGTCCATGGCCTGACAGCAGGGCAGCACAGCCCTGGCCTGACCCCCGGTCCCCAACGCACCAGCCCGCTCAGCTTCTCACGCAGGCCCCGGATGTCGTCCTTGAGTTTCTGCTCCTGGATCCGCCACTCAGCCTTGTGGACCTCACGGCTCAGGTCCCTCTCGGGGCCTGGGGAGTGGCGACCAGCCTCCAGCAGCAACACTCGCAGTTCGTTCAGGCTCCTGGTGTTGGGGGGGGGGGGGGCGGGGGCACAGAGCAGTGGTGGTCAGCCCTGGCCCCTCCACTCCCATACTCTGGGGATTTGACAGGTGCCTAGAGACTGGCAACCCTGAGGAGGACACTGTCTATTAAGATGGCATCTGTGCCAGGAGGGGCCAGAGTGGAAACAGGAAACCATTTGACCAAGAGGGGTCAGAATTCAGACAAGCGGTGGTCAACAGGACTTGGCCTTTCCTAGAATGTTCTTAAAGTTTTAAAAAAAGAGAATATAATATTTAATTAAAACAAAACATTCATCCAAGAGAGCTCATGTGGCAAGACTTTTTAAATGCCTGATGTCACATGGGTTTTACTTCCCATGCCAGCTCTTAATCAACTGGCAGTAGCTGCCTGGAGTACTGTGATGAGAATGATTCTGAGGCCACATGCGGGCTCTGCAAAAAAGAATGCAGTCCTCAATTAGCAATGTCTGCCATGGGCACCGATTGAAGGACACACCCCTTTCTCAGCCTTTTCCCTTGCCTGCATTTACTGTAAAGGAGGGGAAAACTCCCTCACTAGGTGGCCATGGGTAGTTGAGAACAAAGTGGAAGTCAGATGGCACTGCTCCTTTCCCTTTCCTTCTCTTTCCTGCTGTGAATGTGATGGCTGGAGCTTTAGCAGCCACCTTGCAACCACAAGGGAGAGTCCAAAAGAACTACAAAGGTGTTGGCACTGATATGTTTTGCCACTGAACCAACTGCCAGCCACAGCTACCTCCCAATTTCTTGTCATGTGAGGAAAATAAATCTCTACTAGCTTAATCTGCCAGTGCATTCCTGGCTGATCCCCCACTCCCAGCCTAAGCACCCCAGGAGCATGGAGGAGCTCATGGTGGCCTACATCAATCAAGAAAGGCTTCAAGGAAGAGGTGGGCTTTAACTCGAGTTGAATCTCAAATGCTTACAGGGGCTGGCGAATCATGTCCAGGAAGTGGGTGTAAGAAAAATAATGAAGGGGGTGGGGACTGAGGAGACCCACCGGGCCCACGCCATTGAAAGGGGGCAGGTGCTCCCCAGGAATGCTGCAAGTCAGCCTAATGTTGTCAGACCTAATTTTTTTAAGAGAATCTGGACTGGAGAAATCCAGATTTTATGTGAAATCTTCTGATTCTTAAATGCTAGTCTAGGTTTTTTTTTAAAACCTCATATGGGTCACATAAACCACGTCTATGCACAATAATCCAGTAATTCTCAAAGTGTGGTCTAGGGAACCCTCAAGGGTCCCCCAGACCTTTTCAGGGGGGCCTATGGGTCAAAACTATTTTCATAATAATAATAAAACTATTTTCATTGTCATTTCTCATGAGCATACAATTTTTCTGGGGCCACGTGGCATATTAATAATTATCTGAAAAGGATATTAAAATATTCCTTTCTTTTCCAACCAGATATCTAACGCCAGATTTTCATAATATACTTCAACCAAAACAATAAATTGCAAAGACTGACTGCAGAAGATATGAGAATCCAGCTGTCTTCTATTAAGCCCAACATTCAAGAAATTTGCAAAAATGCAAAACAATGCTACTCTTCTCACTAAATATTTTTTGTTTTGGAAAAGTTACTTTTTATCAAAAGCATGTTATTTATGTTACATGCAATTGGTTTATTATTATTTTTAAATGGATTAACACATATTTAAAAATTTTTCCACTTTAATTTCTAATATGGTAAATATGGAAAAAATAAATGAGGGCTCTGTGGGAATCCTCAATAATTTTTAAGTTTAAAGGGGTCCCTGAGGGGCCGGCCCCGTGGCTTAGTGTGCGCTCTGCTGCTGGTGGCCCGGGTTCGGATCCCGGGCGCGCACCAACGCACCGCTTGTCAGGCCATGCTGTGGCGGCGTCCCATATAAAGTGGAGGAAGATGGGCACGGATGTTAGCTCAGGGCCAGTCTTCCTCAGCAAAGAGAGGAGGATTGGCATGGATGTTAGCTCAGGGCTGACCTTCCTCACCAAAAACAAAAAGGGGTCCCTGAGACCAAGAAGTTTGGGAACCACTAATCTTTCCTATGAGCTCTGCTTGGGGAACTGTGTTGAGAAGGATTCTGAGGCTTCATGTGAGCTTAGCAGAGGAGAGTATGGTGATCGCTGGTGATGCCAGCCACCTGTCCCACCCGTGCCACTGCTGCACAGCCCCTGGAGAAGACTGGCTAATGTTGGGTGGAATGAGGGTCAGGGCCAGAGGGAGGACACGGCTGGGTGACAGAACCAGGCAGGCCTGAGCACACGGCCCAGGGCTGACTCACCGCTCCTTCCTGAGCAGCTCCTGGCTGACCAGGACCAGCTGGCCCGAGGCATCGTGGGTCTTCCGGGACACGGCCCCCAGCTCGGCCTCCAGGCGCTGTGTCTCCTTCTGCAAGGCGTCCACCTTCTTCTCTCCGGACCTGCATTTGCTCTCCAGTGCTGAGGGTCAGGTGGCAGGGAGAGGAGGGGAGGGTCAGGGTCCTGGTGGGAACCTGTCCCACCTGAGGGCCAGGCCCGGGCAGGGAGCCGGTTTTCCCGGGGGATCACAGGGACACACTCCACGGAGTGGGGGTCCCTCGTCCTGCAAAGCCAGGCAGCAGGGGGCCGAGAGGAGCCACACAAAGCTGACCAAACCCTTCAAGCACAGCAGCCCAGGCTGTGTGGTGTCGGGGAAGCAGTCCCTTCCTGAGACGGGAACCGGGCATGCACACCGTGGCCTGGATGAGGACCAGCCAAATCTTCCCCTCAGCCTCAGAGTTTGTGGTCACCTGACCTTTGTCAGGGCCAATTATGCCCGGTGACCATGATGGGAAGGGGAGAGAAGTGGGGGTGGGAACCTTTCCCAGGAGGGGCCGTCTCATGGCCACCACCACTGGCATTCTGGCAGACAAGAAGCGGGGACAGTTTGTCACCAAATCACATTCCAGACCCCTGGCCCCTCCCCAGGCTTCCCCTCTGTTTTCATTCCCCTGTGCCTTGCTGTCTGCTGCAGCTGGCGTCCGCCGCCCCCCGACCCCCGATTCCGAAATCTTGGCTGTTCTTCTAGGGGCTGGGGGCAGACACACGGTATCAAAGTGACCTATGAGGAACCAAAAAGTCTTCAAGACCAGAGCACACCTGTGACAGAATTTCAGAACAGAGCCGGCTCCGGGGAGAGAAAGGACGGGGCCCCTGGTCACATTATGGACAGTGTCTGGGCTACGATTCTCCCTCACTGCTGCCAGATACAAGGCCAGTGCGGTGACCTGGCCCAGGCTGCCTCCTCTTTAAGGCAGCGGGGGAGAGCACACGGACCCAGGCGCCAATCCACTCCACGCTCTACTGGCACGTGGCCCCCGGGAAAGCCCCCGAATCTGCCCTGCGGGAGGGAGACTTACCACTTACTTGGGCCCTGAGCATCTCGGTCTGGGACATCAAGGCTGTCACCTCTTTGTCCCTCTTGTTTAGCTTGTCCTGCAGTCCTAGGAGAGAAGGGAGAGACGAGGGGCCATCAACACTCCAGGGCCAACACTGTGGTCCAGTGGGCGAGGGGGTGACCCTCCCACAGAAACCCTAAAACGGGGCCCTGCTTGGCCTCCAGGGTCCAGACGGCTCACGCCAGGCATCTCCCTGGGTAACCCACCCTGAAGACAACACTCCAACACTGTGTGGTCTTGAGCAACTTAACTCTTAGAGTCTCAGTTTCCTTGACTGAAAAATGGGGATAATAATAAGGGGGCCCATATCACCTGGTCATGTGGATTCAATATTGGATAGTCTCAGAACAGTCATAGAAGAGATAATGCATAGAAAGTGCTAGAAACATATAGCTTTCTGTAAGTTGATTTATAAATTTAAATAATACTAATAAATATACCAACAAAATTTTGGTTTTTGTGTAACTAGATAAGCCTATTCTAAAATCACTTGGAAAAATTAGCAAGAATAGCCAAAAGAGTTTGGCAAAAACTTCTTCAAAGAGTTCAACACAGACTTACCATATGACCCAGCAATTCTGCTCCTGGCTGTATATACCCAAAAGAACTGGGAACAGGCTCTCACCAAGCACACACGTTCACAGCAGCACTACTCATAACAGCCAGGAGGAAACAGCCCAGGTGTCCACCTTCAGGTGGATGGATGAACAAAACACGGCACGTGCCATGATGGACTATTACTCAGCCATCAACAGGAACGAAGCATCGACACACGCCACAACACGTATGAACCTTGAATGTGTTATGCTCAGTGAAAGAAGCCAGACGTGAGAGGCCACGTATTGTGTGATGCCGTTTATATGAAATACCCAGAAGAGGCACATCCACAGAGACAGAAAGCAGAGGAGCGGCTGTCAGTGGCCGGGGAGGGGAGGGTGGAGAGTGACTGATAGCGAGTCCGGGGTTTCCTTCTGCGGGAATGAAAATGTTCTGGAACTAAATAGAGGTGGTGGTCGCACAACATTGTGAACGTTCTTAATGCCACTGCATCGTTCACTTTAAAATAGTTAATTTTATGTTAATTTTGCCTGAATTAAAAAAAAAATAGCCAAGAGAATTTTGAAAAAGCAGAGCAGAAAAGACTAGCCCTGCCAGGAGTCAGAACACAAAGAAAGCGTGAATAATTAAACATTACAGAACTGGCCTGTGAGCACACAGGTTATTGGAATGGGTGCGAAAGTGCAGAAACAGAGTCAGTTACAGAAGAGAATTTAAACATGGTGAGGGTGGTCATTCAAATCGGTAGGGGGAAAGGAGTTTTTCAAAAATGATGTTGGGACAAGTGGGTGCTCTTTGGGAAGGAAATAAACATGGATCTTTACCTTACACCTTACAGAAGGATGACTTCTAGATGGATCCAAGATTTAAACATAGAAAATGAAACTTAAAAAGTACCACAAAAAACCATGGGATGCATTTTGAAAATAATAAACCCAGATGCCAAAAAACAAAAGATTGAGTTTTTTTATTATAATTTTATTTATTTATTTATTTTTCCCCCACAGCTCCAGTAGATAGTCGTATGTCACAGCTGCACATCCCTCCAGCCGCTGCATGTGGGACGCGGCCCCAGCATGGCCGGAGAAGCGGTGCATCGGTGCACACCCAGGATCCGAACCCAGGCCGCCAGCAGCAGAGTGTGCGCACTCAACCGCTAAGCCACGGAGCCGGCCCAAAAGATTGATTTTTAAAAATCTGAATGGCAAATATCACAAGAAAAATCAAAAGACAAACCACAATGTCATATATAAAGAGTTTCTAGAAATCAACAAATTCCAATTTTTCTAATCACAAAAAATGGGCACTGGATCCAAGTAGAAATAGGAATGGCATTTCATCTACAGTAAGAGAGCCGAGCTAAAGTCACATCAAGCCATATCTTTCACTGTGCAGACTGACAGAAACCACAAAGTTTGATGAAGCATGTTGGTGAGGTTCGTGGGGAAACACTTGCAACCACAGCTGGTGGGAGTTAGAGTTGGGTGAGCCCAACGGAGGGCAAGGGCTTTCCTGCAGCAGTTGTACTGCTGAAAGGGCCGACGTCCATCCGCAGGACACTGGCGAAACAGAGGAGGGTAGCTCCACACAGTGGAATATTCTGCACCATGTGAGAGATAAGGAACAGTCTCCAAGATACATTATTAAATGGAGAAAAGTAAGAGGCCTCACAGTGGGGGGGCGTGGTACCCCCACAGTGGTACCTGTGTGCTTGTGTGTGCACAACCATCTCCAGAAAGGAGACGTAGTCGGCCAACATTGTGCCCGTGGGGAGGGAACCAGGCAATGGAGGACCCTTGGCCGTGTGGCCTTTAAACCATTTGAAGTTTATACCTATTTTTAAAATACAGTTAAAATCAGGGCCGGCCAGTGGCTTAGCGGTTAAGTGCGCACGCTCCGCTGCTGGCAGCCCGGGTTTGGATCCCTGGCGCGCACCGACGCACCGCTTCTCCGGCCATGCTGAGGCCGCGTCCCACATACAGCAACTAGAAGGATGTGCAACTATGACATACACCTATCTACTGGGGCTTTGGAGGAAAAAAATAAATAAAATTATAAAAAGAAATAAAATAAAATACAGTTACAATCAAACAAACAAGGTACTTTGCACTCTGCATGGCACTCATAAGCTGGGCCGCCCCGTGGCTCACGCACATGGCACGGGGCTCTCCCCAGATGGCTGATGATGCAGACAAAGGGGACCCAGCTCAAAGGCAGACCCACCGGCCTCTCCCCAGAGCCCCATGTCCCGCCCTGCCCGGCGGCCACTCACCTTCCCCGGTCTCCTTCATCCCAATCTTCTCCCCAGAAAGGTCGTTTGACGCAGTCATCTGCAAGAAGAGGCCTGTCAGGGGGAGGCTCGCCTCCCACCTCCAGCCCCAGCCCCGCCAGCCCAGCAAGCGTGCCGCACCCCCATACAACGCGACCTTCAGGGACTGGGGGGCAGGGAGCATGGGTGTCCTTGGTCTGGCCCTCTGACAACAGAGAGCCCACTCTGCTCCCAGGGGCCCAGAGGCTGCTTGTGCAGCTTCCCTGTGGACACCCCTCCTCTGTTGAGAACGGACGTCTCCTTCTCTGGGACACCTGCAGAGACTGGTCCTGGGAATGTTTCCATCATCACCCAGAGGCAAGACCTGGTTTCCCATCCATCAAACGAGTATCGACTGCCATGGGGCAGCATGTGCAAAGCACAGCCAGGACCGGCTCCCAGAGGGACATCGATAAAGGCTACTTCCTTTCTCTCCAACGCTTTTTTAAAATTATAAACCCAGAAGCCAAAGAAGGCAAGATCAATTAAGAAAAAAAATCTGCATGGCAAACATCAATGGGCTCCTCACTGCTTCTTGGCAGAAGTTTCCAGCCTCCTGCCCAAGCTGGCTGTCCTCTGAGCCTGCAGTTTGCTGGAGCCTAACACTGCGGATCAGGGCAGCATAGAGCTAAGCAGAGAGTCACCTCCATCAACCTGCCCCTCAAACTCCTGCTCATACATCACAAGCCCCATTTTGGTCTCAGACAGTTGTGATTAATTGAGCCCCCTCGGTCTTTATTTACACATACTGCAGAGAAAATACCGCACACACTAAAAAATACTTTTTTAAACCTCCATACTTAATTCACGAGACCAAAAATCTAGTTGTCCCTGGACTTAAACCTCTGAATCTGAATCTGGGAGGCATGTGGGTCCAGACCAACAGGCCCCATGTGTGTGGAACTCAAGAGATGGGTCTTCCTGAGGTCACCACCCACTCCTCAGCCCGAACCTCCCCCACTAAGGGAGTCCAGGTCCCGGGGTCCCAGGCCGGATGCCCGTGCCCTGAGCAGCCAGCCAATCAGGCCACGTGCACACAAGCTAACCTGGGGCTCTGCCTGGTCCTCTGCCTCGGATCCCGGGAGAGCACTTGCTAAAAATGGGCCCTCCTGGGAGAAGGGGGCGGGGAGGCCGCTGCAGCAGGACCTTAAGGCACAGTGCAGGCAGACCTCCCTTTACAAAAAGGCCCCCGGTACTGGGAGCTCCTGAAAACCGACCACTCGGCTACGAATTTAAACGCAGGAGCGGATGGAGGCTCGAGAGTGCCTGGGGCTCCTGTAACGGCAATGCTTGTGCTGCCGCCTGTCCCTTCATCTAGGATTTGACTTTTGTCATCCTGGGCACCCTCGGTCAGCCCTCAGGCAGTGGGATTGGACATGATCTCTGCCCCTGGAGGGCGAGAAACTCTGGGAAAGCCACCCCGTCTTGGAGTCTTGGTTTGCTCATCTGCAAAACGCAGCCAACATCCACCTCACGGGAGTTAAGGTGGGACGGGCCTGGACAAGATGTGGGCCCCGAGTCCCTCCAAAGGCCTTTCCTGGCCCCACAGGAGCCGACACAGCCCACGCTACCCGGGGGTCGCCTCCCAGCAGGCTCAGCTGGGAGTTCTAGGTTTGGAGCAAAACTGATACTGGGGGCTCAGTCTCAGTTGCTCAGTCTCATCAGGACTGGCAGAAAGGGGGCCGCCCTTGGGCGGAGTTGGAGATAGGAGCCCCAGGGATGGGCAGGGCTTGCCCCCTACATCCGCACCACCCCACAGCAGTGCCAGGCCGAGGAGTCTGCACAGTAGGCATGTCTGGGCGAATCGGGGACTTGGGGACTGGGAGGAAGCCTGTTTTCTGAGCTGAGGTACACATCTCTCCAGGCCTGGTCTGGGGGGACCTGGGCAGGTCAGCTCAGACCGCCTTGGGTCCCCATGGTCACCCAGGCCAGCTGCCCTTCTGATGCAGGGACGAGGGTCTCCTCCTCTGAGCCAGATGCCCTCTGATCTCGCACGGGCATGCTCCTGGGGGCAAGAGGAATGCCTCCTGGGCTGGAAGAGCGTGGTCAGTAAACACCCGGGCCCTCTCCAGCTGGACCCTTGCGCCCAGAAGCTGCTGCCTATGCGCCCTGCCACCGCCCGGCTGGAGGGCGGCCGCCTACGTTGGTGTGCTGGGCCGAGCACAGGGACTCGGCAGCCTGGAGTCTGCTTTCAACAACCAGAAGCTTCTCCCGCAGCCTCTGGGCCTCCTGCTTGCTCTGGGCTTCCGACCGCTGCAGCGTCTCGTAGTCCAGCATCTTCTTCTCGGCCAGGGAGATCTGCTCCTTGAGGAACTCGATGGCCTGCGCCTGGCCCCGGTACTCCACGTCCAGCTTCTCCAGCTCGTGCACCCGCAGCTCGGCATCGCGGCGCTGGTCCTGGGCCTCGCGCAGCTCCCGCCGCAGGCCCTCCTTCTCCTTCACGTGCATGGCGGTCTCAATGTCGTGCTTGGCCCGCAGGTTGCCCAGCTCCAGCTGGTGCTCCATCTTGATGCCCTCCATCACGGCCTTCAGCTCCCCGATCTCCTTCTGCTGGGCGCCCGGGCCCGAGTTCAGGGTGGCCTTGAGGTCCTCCAGGGACTTCTGGTGGTCCGAGGCCAGCGAGTCCAGTTTGGACTTCCAGTTGTCCATGAGCCCCATGTTCTCGCTGGTGGCCTGCTGGACCTTGGCCCTGAGGTCCAGCACCTCCTGCGCGTACCTCTCGTTGGCCGCCTGGAGCTTCTCCACCTCGGCCTGGTAGGCCCTCAGGGCCTTCTCGTACTTGTCCCGCAGCACGCCGCTCTCCCTCTGCTGCTCCTTGCTGGCCGACAGCAGCCGCTCGCGCAGCCGCAGGGTCTCGGCAGCCTCGGGGTGGTCGGGGGGCAGTGGGCCTGAGTGCAGCAGACGCTGCTGCAGCTCCTCGATCTCGCCCCGCCGCAGGCTCAGCTCCTCCTCCAGCTGCAGCACACGCGACTGCTCGGCCACCGTGGTCAGCTACAGGGCAGAGACGGAGACAGGGGTCAGCAGACGGCTGGAGCGTGAGGGGGACACGATGGGGGTGAGGGAGCGTCTCACCATTTGAGGGAGCCCCCTGCCCGGGGGAAGGTCATGGGAAGGGAGGGTGCCCCCTGCCCGAGGGCCAGCTTCCCACCACGGCTGCCAGGACTCTCCTAACCTGTGCCTAGCGACTCAGGGAGTCAACTGTCCCTGTAGCCCTAGGCGGCTTGGAACAAATCGATGGTTAAAAGAAACCACCATTTGAGGTTATGGCTTTCTTCAAGTTCATGTTATTTTTAAAGGTCAGAGACGACAGAGGGAACGTTGCACTATCCTGCTCTAGAAAGGCGTCCAGCTGGTTCACAAAGGGGCTGTCTGGAGGGGCAGCCAAAGAAGGGTCCGGTTTAACGCCTAAAGCAGAAAAAAATTAATGTTCCCAGACCCCCTTCTGATAGAAAACTCTCGAGACCAGAGGCTCCATCCTCCACCCTCCTCAATCACGTCACCGGTCACAGGTTTGGAAACAATGTATTTAAAAGCTTTAAATCTTTTACAAACTTAAAAATGTTGTTTATGAAGGTGACTTTTGGTTCAATAAACCCGTTTTTGTTTTTTTAATTAGGTCAAACCCAATCAAGATGCCTCGGTGTGGAGGGCTCCAGCCTGTCAACCGTTGACTGGGTCGGTTTCTTCAAACAGCCTTTGTGCACACGCGTGTGTACGGCATGAGCACACATGGTCACTGGGCAGTGTGTGCAAATGGACCCCTGTGTGTCTGCCGATACCCAAAGGCGCACGCGCTCACTCCGTGCTGAGGCCGACTTGCAGAAACCGGCCACGGCTCACCCCACACCCACACCCACACCCACACCCACACGCTGTTTCCCCAATCACTGCTCGCTGGCTGTCTAGCTCCGTCGCCAAGAGAACTGCAGCTGGGCTGTCCTCTGGGCTGTGCTGGCCAGCTGTTTGGATGTGTGTGCCTGCACAGGAGCCGGCCCTGGGGCATGCATGGTGGGCGTAGAGGGGCCAGCTGGGCCTGGAACCTGGACTCAGAACCATGCCCTGGGACTCAGGGACACCTCACCCCCAGACAGAGCCTTCCCTGGCCTAGGAATCGCTCCCGATCCATCCTATCTCAACGGCCAGACCCTGAGGCGGACACAGTCCCCTGCCCTGAGGACACCCCCACTCCCCAAAAGTTCCACCCCTCCCCTAGCCCCAGGTCCCTCAGCCTACCCCCTCCTGCCACCGCATTTAAGACCCCCTAGTCTAGAGGAACCTGGACCTGCAGTCCCCCGCCTCCTGCCTTCCCCAGCCTGGGAGAGGGAGGTGCGGATAGGTTGTCTCCGTGACTGCCCACATAAGGGGCAGAATGTTCCCAAGAGGCCCCCGCCTTCTGAACATGACAAAGCCTTGTCATGGCAATGCATGGGGAGGGAGGAAGGGGAGGGTCTCACAGGACACCCCCAGCCAATGGGACCATGAGCTAGGGAGCAAAGTTCCAGAGAGCCAAGACCCCCTCCTCCCCAACAAGCATGACGTGGCTCTGGAGCATAAGGACATCCCACAACCTCTACTTCCCTCCTAGAAGGGGCACAAGAGGAAGAACACGACGAGGACAGCAGCCAAAGACAGGGAAGATTACAAACAGAGACGCTGGGGCTGGGGTGTGGGGGATGGCAGCAGGCAGGGCGCTGGTGGGCATGTTACCCTGTTGTCGGCTAATTCTCGGAGCAGCCGCTCGGCCTGCGCCTTCTCCAGTAGCAGGCTCTGCTCCAGCTCCCCAATGCGTGCGTGCTCCAGCTGCGTCTGGGTCTGGTCCACCCAGGGAGCGGGCGGGGGCACAGGGGAGAGGGGCACAGGAAGAGGCAGCCAGAGAGAGAGAGAGAGAGAGAGAGAGGCGGCGTCATCTTCGTGAACAAGACAGGAGAGCAGGTCAAGGAGAGGAGGTGCTGGGAGAGGGAGGAGGTCTGCGAGGGCCGCCTGCCCCTCACTGCGTCCTGGCTGGGTCTGCTTGAGGGCAGAGGGGCTGCAGCAGCCCTGCCCAGGCCAGCCCCTGGGGCGGTTTGAAATGGACAGCCTGGTCACTTATGTCACCCCCAGGCGGCCCTCCCCCTTGCAGCTCCTAGGGCAGGGCCCCAGCCTACTCCTGCTCCCCATCGGGGAGCCTGCAGGCTGTTTCTCACGTTAGGATAGGATCCTGCACACAGGAGCCCCCCCAGGATGGATGAACGAGTGAACGACCCCAGGATTCCTGGCCCCAGGCCTGTGCTAAAGGTGGATGAACCAAGCAAATGGAAGGTTTTTAGAAACATACCCACAGCCTCACGATTCTCCCAGCCTGGCCTCCCGCCGCCCTGCCCAGAGCCCAGCCCCGTAGGTGCCCACCCCCGTGCCCCATGGAGAACGCCTGGTCTCCCAGAAGCACAAGGGCACTTTTGTCCTGGCTTCACAACACCCACTTCACAGGCTAACAAAGCCCCTCATTCTCAGGGCATCCAGGCTGGCGTGTGGACCTCCCAGAACAGATCTGCGCGGGCAGCAGGGGCTGAGGGCTCAGGCCCCAGGGCGCCCGGAGCAGCCTGGACACCAGGCAGACGGTAGGGAGAAGCCAGAGGGTCCTCCTCATCCTCCTGCTTGTCCCATCACCACCCAGGAGAAGCAGGTTAGAGCACACCAGTGTGGCCGTTCTGAAGAGGCCAGCCAGGCCGAGCAACACAGCATACACGTGTAAAGGCAGGAGCGCACCCAGCACCAGCGAGGGCCACGGTGCCAGCGCACTGTTACCACCGGCCCAGAAATGCACTCTTGCACTCATGGAGACCTAGGGATGTTTACGGCCTTCGGCCTATATCTTATTTCTGTGAATTTTCCTAAAGGAAGAACTAAAAAGCTTCTCTCTCTCTCTAAGAGAGGAGCATGCTGCAGTGCTAACAAGCAGCCTCGCTCAGTCTCTTCAGAAAATTACAGGAGGGCCGGCCCTGTGGCTTGGTGGTTAAGTGCGCGCGCTGCAATGCTGGTGGCCCGGGTTCGGATCCCGGGTGCGCATCGAGGCACCACTTCTCCGTCCATCCTGAGGCCGAGTCCCACATACAGCAACTAAAAGGATGTGCAGCTATGACATACAACTATCTACTGGGGCTTTGGGGGGAAAAAATAAAATAAATAAAATCTTTAAAAAAAAAAAAAGAAAATTACAGGCTGATGACGACACCGCAGTCCCAGCCTCGCAGGGGCCATGTCCCCACCCATCTACCCCCTGATGGTGGGCACAGTAGCCCTGCCCGGGACCCACACTAGACGGAGCATGATCACAAATATTGTATGGATGGCCCCACGGGCAAGAAAAAGCCTCCAGCTTCACAATTTCAAGGGCAACTTCATTTGGTGCCCCCTGAAAGCACCCCTCCCCATCACTTTCAGAACTTCTACCTCCCGGCCCGTGGGCTGGGGTCTCCGTGGGGGGCACAGGGGGACCCAGTGGAGTTGCTTCAGGTGCTTGCTTAATCAAGAGAAATTCACCATAGGAGTTTGGGGGGGGTCCTTTAAGGCTAGATTTTAGGTGGGGTGGACGATTTTGCCTTTCGTTCTGCTCTAGGGACACTGCCCAGCGTGGGAGGAATGGGGGCCACCACAGCCCTGTCTGTCACTCTCGGGTCCCCTGGAGTTAATGTTCATAAAACCACGGTCAAGGCTCTCGGGGCAGCATAAAGGTGGATGTAATTCTGTCTCATGCACTAACTGGAGACCCCCACCCCCACATAAGGGGTGTCTTGGCTGTCTCCTCGTCTCAGGGAGAGAGAGGCCACTGCAGGGAGAACAAATCCCCAGGCTCGGAGTCACACAGCAACATGGGGCAGCACGAGGGCTAGAGCTCAGACCTCTGGATTCCAGAACTTGCGCCTTTCCTCCAAAGCAGCCCGACTCCGCAGGGGGGGGGGGGGGCGGCGCAGCGGCAGGGCACAGATTCCCCGTAGCAACACGGAGCAGGGAAGGAGGCTCTGGGGGGGTGGGGGGGTCCCTGTTTCCCTGCCTCCACTCAAGTCCTGGGGCTCAGTCCAGCCTTGTTGGAGCCCCTGACCCGCAGTCTCCTCTCACACACTGTGTCTACCCCACTCCAAGGCACAGAGCCACCGCCTTGGGACACGGCTTGGGTAACTCAGGGCTGGTGTCATTAATTAATTGGGGGAGGCGTTTCCCCAACGGCACTAGGGGCTCCTGAAGGTCAGAGGCACCTGTCACCCCTCTCGCTCTCCCTTCAGGCCAGTTCTCAACAAACAGCTGATGCTGAGTTGGTGGCTACCGATGTCCCCAACTGGGTGGCAGCAGAGGACGGCACACGTTTTCATGATGCAACATGGCAACACCCACGCAAGAACCACAGGTGTGTCCCAGCCTGTGACCCGGGGCCCACTCCTGGAGAAGCACCTCACACGCTCCTGCCTCACTCTGGCATGGGGGACATAAAGGTGGACAGACAGACAGGGTCCCCAGCCCAAGGGGCTCACATTCTGGGGCAGGACACAAACAATAAATGACAAGTCAAGATCATTTCAGATTGTGACTCGGGCAAGGACAGAGCACCGGGGAGAGGCAAGTGGCAGGAGGCAAAACTGAGCAGGCAGCGAAGGCCTCTGTGAGAAATCCCGCTGAAGGGGAGACATGAAACAGAAGCTGCAACCAGCTGACCAAGGCAGGAGGTGGAGAAGGGGCGAGCGTTTCAGGCAGAGGAACCAGCAAGAGCAGCAGCTCAGAGGCAGATGGAGCCTGGGGCGTTCCAGGAACAGAGAGGAGCCCCACGTGCCCGGGCAGAGGTGCGCAGCAGGCATGGACCCCTGGGGCCGCTCTACAGAGCCTGGCTTTCTCTAGGGCGGTGGCACAAGACATGTGAGCATGGAAGGAGCAGGATGTGATCTACGTTTTTAAGACATCTGGTGATACGTTTGCAGTTTACTTCAAAATAACGTGCGAGGGGGCTGTGGGTGGGGTACAGCTGAAACAAGAGTGGCCTGGAGTTGATAATCCTTGAAGCTGGGAGACGGGTAAATGGGAGTTCGTCAGACCATCCTCTCTACTTATGTGTAGGTTCAGATCTTTCCAACGTTAAAAGTTAACAGGATTGTTTTTAAAGGCTATCTGGCTTCAGTGTGGAGAATGGATCGTGGAGGAACCAGAGAGGAAGCAGAGGGGCCAGGAAGCAGCTATGCAGTTGTCCAGGGCAGGGTGCTACGGCCCGGCCCAGAGCGGGCGCCGTGGGATGAAGAGAGTCAGGGAGGCAAGGTCAAGAGGGTTTCTGAGGGAGGGATGAGGGAAAGAGAAGACTCAAGATGAATTTTAGTTGTATGGCCTGAGCAACTGTGTGGACTGCAGGCCCAATTACAGAGATGGGAAAGATACAGGGGCGAGGGGTGTGAGCAGGAGGCAGGAACAAATGGAGAGATCTCTTTAGGACATGTTCCATGTGGGACTCTACTGGGTTGAATAGTGTCTCCCCAAATTTCACATCCTGGGGCTGGCCCCGTGGCTTAGCGGTTGGGTGCATGTGCTCGGCTGCTGGTGGCCCAGGTTTGGATCCCGGGCGCGCACCGACGCACCGCTTCTCCAGCCACGCTGAGGCCGCGTCCCACATGCAGCAACTAGAAGGATGTGCAACTATGCCATACAACTATCTGCTGGGGCTTTGGGGGCGGGGGGGAAACAAATTTCACATCCACCTGGAACCTCAGAATGTGACCTTGCGTGGAACAGGATCTTCACATGTTGTTGGTGAAGATGACGTTGTGCTAGATTAAGGTGGGCCTGAGATCCAGTGACTGGTGTCCTTGTAAGAAGGCCATGTGAAGAGACACAGGAACACAGAGGGAAGAAGCCACGCGACCACGCAGGCAGTGATGCAGCTACAAGCCAAGGAATGCCCAGGGTTGCCAGCGATCTTGCCAGAGCTGGGCGAGAGGCCTTGAACAGATCCTGACCCAGAGCCTGCAAAACTGACCCTGCCCAAACCTTGATTCCAGACTTCTGGCCTCCAGAACTGGGAGAGAGTAAATCTGTGTTGTTTCAAGCCCCCGAGTTGTGGTAACTTGTCACTGTAGCCCCAGGACACTGTTCCAGGCGCCTGGCAGCTCCTCATCCTGGGGACACTCCAGGAGCCACGCCAGTGGGGTCCTCGGGGGGTGACCGGGAATCGTGGGCTATGAAGCTCTCAGGGAGAGTGCAGATCGAGAGGCAAATGGGCCCGGACTGAGCCCTTGGACGGGCCAGCATGCAGAGATCAGGAGAGGAGGCTGTGGGGTGGGACAGGGCCCTCGTGGGGTGGGGAGAGGCAGTGAGGAGGACAAGGAGAGAGACAGGGGACACAGCTGGAGGGACCAGGGACTCAAGGAGGTGCTCTGGGTTTTAGTTCTGACTGTTTAGACGGGTGGGGATGAGTGGGACTTCAGGTCAATTTTCCTTCTGGTTGTCATGAATATGGTCACAATACAAACAGGAACAGGACTCTACTGTCCTTCGGCTGAACTAGCTGTCTGTCACTGTCTGTCCCTCCCGCAGCCTCTCCCAGCCAGGGCTGATTGCATGTGGGTGGACACCTGATCCAATGCCAGCCAGCCCACTGGCTAGCTGGGACCAATCGGATTCTCTCGAGAGGACAGCTGGTAGATGGTAGGTGCTGCAGCCTGGGCTGGGCCAGGAGGGTGGGTGGGAGCAGATGTGCCAAGAGACCTGGAGACACAGTGGGAGAGAGACAGACAGCCAGACAGACTTGCAGCCTGCCCACGAGTCATGAGAAGAGGCAGGCCCCTGAGCGGGGAGAGAACAGGCTTAGCTCTGGTGCCCTGAACTCCTGTGAGATTTCCCTGCACCTTCAGTCAACCCCTTGTTGACTGGGGTTGGCAGGAGGGGTATCTGTTCCTGCAACCACAGATGCCTTTCCCAGAAGCCCACTCCAAACCCTGCCAGAGGGCAGCCACCCAGCAGGAAAGCCAGCCAAACTAGCCACATGACCTGTCCCTGGGCTCAGAGGGAAACACACAGCAGAACACCCTGACGCTGGGCTGGGGCTCCTACACTTGGTTGTGCCCTGACATTCATTCTTTAAACTCAGGCAGCAAAACCTGCTCCAAGAGTGGCAGCTGGCAGTGACCCCATGTGATCACACATGTCCCTCCCCCAGCCAGGGTCGTCCGGGCACAGGACAACCATACACACACTTTTGCTGGGCATTAGAAGTCACAGGGAGGCCGGCCCCATGGCTTGGCGGTTAAGTGCGTGCGCTCCGCTGCTGGTGGCCAGGTTCAGATCCAGGGCGCGCACCGAGGCATCACTTCTCCGGCCATCCTGAGGCCGAGTCCCACCTATAGCAACTAGAAGGATGTGCAGCTATGACATACAACTATCTACTGGGGCTTTGGGGGTAAAAAATAAATAAATAAAATGTTAAAAAAAAAAAAAAAAAAGAAGTCACAGGGCTCTTAACGTGGCTCTTTCACAAAATCGGAAACGGAAATTTCCCATTTGAGCTCAGAAATGATCCGGTGCAGTGAGTCCCAAAGTGTGGTCCCTGGACCAGCACCACCGGGAACTGTCAGAGATGCAGACACTCAGCTCCCGCCCAGGCCTCCGGGGTGGCCGGGCCCAGCACCTGTCTCTGAACAAGCCCTCTAGGTAATGAATTCTCAAGTGTGAGAATCACTGATCTAGTTCAACCTCCTCATTTTACAGCAGGAAGGGAAGAGGCTGCCCACGGCCAGGCGAGGCCAGGACCAGAGTGTGGAGAGGGTCTGAACTCACCCTCCCCTGGCCCATCTGACAGCTCCCAGGTAGCAGGGAGGTGTTCCTGCCCAGCCAACTGTGGCCTCAGGAACCGTGGTCTCTGCATGGTTTGGGGAGGAGGGCTGCGGAGGGGGGGTCCTTAGGTCTTTCCTTATTGATCCTAGCATCCTCTATCCCTCAGCTCAGACGGGGGCGGGGTTGGATGGGAGACTGAGAGGTCCACCTGTGCGCAGACTGCTTGCCCAGGTGTTGTCACTGAGGAAGTACTAAAACCAGCCATCCTTGTGGGCTGAGCTCAGGGGCCAGGAGTCCTGGGTCCTGGTCCCATGGCTGCTGCCTTGCTCCATGACTGGGTGAGTCTCTTTACCTTTCTGAGCCTGTTTTCCCATCTACAAGTTCTGTGACTCAATAACAAGCTACTTCCAGCCAAAATTTGACCTGGAATCCAAGATGAACTAAGGGCCCAAGGAACTCCTTTAGGGCGACTGCCCAACAAAGAAGGGCCAGGGGAGTCCAGCCACTGCGTCCTCAGGCCCAGCCCTACGGACAAGCTGGGTCCATCCCACCCAGGTGCTGACAGGAAGCACAGCCCCTCTGGCACTCCTGGAGCCAAGCCATTCCCATCTCTGTCACGGGGGTCATCGCGACCTGCTCCCTCCCTCTCTACTCTCCCAGGGTATGAGCTCTGACCCTTCCCCGTTTCTCCGTCACAATCCCCCCAGCCCCCTCCCAGGGGGCCCAGAGTTACTGCGTGGACCTCACTGCCATTTGCCACATCAAGGGCTAAGCCCGGGTGCCAGCGAGCCCGGGGACAGGGCCTTTGACGGTTACCTCCAGGTCTCCCTTGGTGATGGACTCCTCCTCCACTCGGAACTGCAGGTCCTCCACCTTCCTGCAGGGGGAGAGCGGGCTGAGCGGCTCTACCCAGAGCCAGGGCTTCACCAAGTCCAAGATGGCAGAGAGAGGTGAGGCCACAGACGGCCCCGAGCCCACGCTCAGGCCAGCACAGGCACTGTCCCCGAGTCCCCTAGCTGAACCTCCTGGAAACCTCCAGGCCTCCCAACTTCCCAACCTGTGCTCCACAGAGACCACTGAATTCTCTAAAATGGGACTCTTTAATGCAACATCAGTCCTCCCTAGACGGTCATGGGAATAAGGACAGGAGGGATTGTAAACGGAAGCACAGTGACGCCAGTGACAGCTCTGTGTTCATCACGGCAGGAGACAGGCACTGCCACATGGACAGTCTGTGGGGAGGGGTGGAAGGGGGCAGACTGGGCTTCTTCCCCTGCTGACCCTGCTCTCATCCACAGGGCTCAAAATTGGGTCAGAGTCCCAGGGTCCACTGCTTGGGCTTCTCCCTGATACGTAGAGCCCCCAAGGGCTGCAGGAGGGCGACAAGGAAACTAAGACCCAGAAAGGGCAAGTGACCTGCCCAAGGTCACCCAGGAAGTCCAGGGCAATGCTGGGTCCTGCCCCCAGGCCCTTCCTGAACACAACTCCCACCACGTCTTAAAGTGACGTTTTTGTTTGTCGGCATAGGGAACCAGATGTGTGGGTCCCGATGACTGTCTCAGACAGATATAAATACGCCTTCTCCCCACAGTCAGATGGTGACAACAGCCTGCAGAGCACGTGCCTCGGCTGAGAGCCCAAAACAGACCACAGGTGGGGTTGGGAGGGCTGAGGATGGGGGCTGCCTCCTGCTGGGGGCGGGAGAGAGCGCCAGAAATCTGTGTATCAGCTGGGAGACAGGGGCTCCTGGGCCAAGGGAACCCCATCCGCTGTCAGCTGTGTCTCACTTAGACCCAGGACCATGTCAGGCCCAAGTCCCCACACAGAGGGACACAGCCCCCACCTGCCACTGTGGCAGGGCAGAAAGAACCAGCGGTACCACTACAGGCTGGTGGCCTCAGGCAAGTCCCTTCCTTGCTCTGAGCCTCAATGCTCTCATTCGTGACATGGGGACAATCCCTGCCTCTCGGGCCGAGTATAAGACAGAGAGACAATGCAGGTGAACCACTCAGCACGGGGCTGACACCCAGAGGCCAGGCGTTTCCAGCTGCCTCTCTGAGCCTCGGTTTCCTGACACGTGAAATGGGAATGGAGCTTCAGGATACGAATTGTGAGCTCCAGGCTGGGACCTGGCACAGGGGGTGCTCTGTGCATGTGAACTGGTCCACGAGTGGGAGACACCGTGCCTGGCTCCCCAGGGACACCTGTGTGAAAGGGCTCCCGTCCCAGGTGTGCGTTCCCCTCGTGATCCGCTGTAGGAGCTGGGCGGGGCCAGAGCAGAGAAGCCCACCCAGTCAGGAACGAAAACAGCAAACGAACGTGGTATCTCCCACGTGCTCAGCGCGCGGCGGGGCTTTACTCCTCCCAACAGCCTGCAGAGATGGGGACCATCACTCCACGTTACAGAAGAGAAGGCTGAGGCCCGCAGAGCTCACGTCACTCATCTAGGTGACAGCCAGCACGCGGTGGAGGCGGGATTTGGACCGGGCCTGCTGGGCCAGCCTGTGCGATTCCGGGTCACCCTGAACGAGGCTCAAGAAAAGGTCCTCCCCGGAGCAGGGCAGGACGCTGCGTACCTCCTCTCCTCCTCCAGCTGGTTGGCCAGGTCCACCTTCTCCTTCCGCACGCTCTCCACGAGCAGCCGGGCCCGCTGCAGCTTCTCCTCTGCTTCTGCAACATACTGGGCCCCGAGCAAGGGCCAGGACAGGGTCAGCCTCCTCTTGGGGACCAGGGTTGGCAGGGAGAGGCAGAGGTGGTGCAAGGAGCTGGGCCTGGAACTCCAGCCACCCTACCGCCCTGCCAGCCCTGGCTGGGCAAGGACCGTGGGCCTCGATGTGAAGGGGGAGGGCCCAGCTGAGCGCCAGGAATGGCAGAGTCCGGCCTCACCCAGTGGGAACCTCAGGTCCACCTGCCCCCAGTACCTAGCACCCCAGTATCTGCCACCTCCCTCAACCTCTAAGGGCCTGAGGCCCGTGGTCTTGTGAAGGCCCCTGTCACGGCAGACACGTGACCTTGGCCGTATTAATTCCAGCATCAGGGAGAACAGACATGTGACAGCAGCCACCTCCAGACGAGGGGCAAGGGCCACTTCCCCAAAACCCAACCCACGGAACTGCTCGAAAGCACCATCGGAAATGTGGACAGTTATCTACAAAAATGTTGACACGAGTACTATTTAGAAAAAGGGAGAAACTGGAAACAACCTAAACAGCAGCACAGGACTGGCCACGTCAGGAAGGACATGGCCGTGACGGACGGCAATGTAGCCGTTCAAACGGGGAAGAATTTTCCAGGACCTAGAAAAGGCTCGCAGAACAGGAGGTGAGGAAACGTGGGCTACACAGCGTACATCCAGGTCCTGAAGGTGTGTGCACCTACCCGTCTGAAGGCAACGCGCCAGGCCGAGGGTTACATGCACATCTGGAACATGCACATCTCCCTATTGCCCTGACACCCCAAGCGCTCTGCTCTGCGCGTGAGTGACCTGAGGCCCCTGGCGCCCCACCGCCCGGCCCGCCCCGCACCTGCTCGTGCTGCGCCTTGAGCAGGGCGAGCTCCTTCTCCACCTCGCAGATGTGGCTCGTGGCCTTGGCCACCTCGGCCCGCTCCAGGTCCCGCTCAGCCAGCAGCTGCTCAATGTGCTGCTGCTTCTCCTTCAGAGCCTCCTGCAAGGCTGTGGTGCCCGAGATCTTGCGGGCGTAGCGCGAAGAGGTCTCCGTGAGCTGCGGGAAGGCACGGGGGCAGGCGGGACTCAGGGAGCTGGAGCGCCATCCTGATAAGCCATAGCCGCCCAGCAGGACCTCCACTCCCAAGTCCCGCCCTCCCTTGCCAGAGCCCAACACCGCCCGCTTACACGGCGGGGGATGGTGATGTTCGAGACTCAGGGAACTCCCCTCTCCCAGGAGGGTCACAGCACCCGGGCTCTGCCCCGTGCGGGGCGTCCTCACCTGGGCCACCTTCTCCTGGACCAGGGGAAACCTCCCATTCTAGACTGAGCCGGCACGGAGGGCCCCCTGCCCAGAAGGGCAGCCTCCCCTTCTCTCCTCATCCAGGTGGCTGTGGCAGCCTTCCTAAAACCCCTGCCCTGCACCCGTATGACTCTCCTTAATTCCCAGGGAAGGGCTTCGACTGCTAACAAATCAGTAATATAAAAATAACAATTAATGTAGATGGATCAGTTTTCCCTATTAAAAGATATGTGCTCCATCTTTGCTCAGAAACCCCCCGACTGAGGGCGGCCTGGAGCCAGGGCAAGTCAGGGCAGACTGGGACACCTGGATTCCCCCTCCCCACCCGCCACACGTACCAGGGTGCCCCTCCCCAGCCCCACCCTCACCAGGCCGCTGCGGCTGGGCCGGCCCCCCACGGAAGAGGCCACGGAGCTGACAGAGCTGATGGAGGAACTGCTGGGGCTATGGGTCAGGGCCGAGACGCCCATGGCCATGCGCTTGCTCTTCTTGGCCTTGGCCGGGCTGGTGGACGGGAAGCCAATGCGGATCACCTTGTGGATGGGTGCGAAGAGACCAAACTTGGGTGGGCACTGGAAGTACCTGGGAGACAGGAGTGACCCACACTGCCGTCACGGCCCCACCGCCCAGAGCCCCCCACCTCCTCCACTTCTGCAGAGCCAGCACAAGGAGAGGCTCATCCCCGGGGCCCCAGCACCCTCACCCCAAGACCGAAAGATGGGACTCCCGGGAAGGAAATAGAAGTGAGTAGGCCTGAGAGTCTCTGTAGGCGTCAACAGCCATGGGGCTCATTTTGGGGGGGTTTAACAATTACGGAGCACCCCGTCTTTGCCAGTCCCCTTACACAAGGGCTTGTTTCATTCCCCTAACCACTCTACTGTTATCTACATTTCACAGATGAGGAGATTTAGGCTCAGAGAGGTTAAGTAACCTGCCCGCAGTCACACAGCTGGTTAAGTGGCAAAGCTGGGACTGGACCCCCCAAGTCTGCTGGGCTCCAAAGCCCTCTGTGCTCAGCTCCTACACACCATACAGAAGCCCCTGGCCATATCTGCAGCCCCACTCTCATTGATGCCCCCAGACCACCCCCAGACCCAGGGAATCCCGTTGGCTCTCTGCCTATGGAGCTCCCCGCATAACAAGCAAAAGCCTGAAGGTGACACCTTGGGGGTGGGGTGCGGGCTGCTGCCCAGCCTACCCCTGAATTCTGAAGGCAGAGTGAGTTGAGGGAAACATCCATCTTGAAAACAGGAAGGCAACGTGCTGACATGGCAGCCCTGAATCTCGGCTCTCCAAACCCTCTGGTCAAGGGTCCACAAGGGACCGGGCAGCTGGTCCTGTCTCCTGCCCAGTCTCTGACTCACATTCAACTGCTGCCCCATCCCGCTTTCCCTGCATTTAGGTCTTTGCTCGGACTGTCCCCCTGCCTGGCGGACCTTCCTCGAGCCGCTTCTAAAAGCAGACCCTACACTCCTCAAGGCCTGGTTCAAGTCTGGCTCTTTCCCTAGTGGCTCGGCTGGCACCAAAGTGACCACTCCTTCTTGGAGCTGTCACAGCCTCATCTGGGCCACAAAACTAGCCCAGGGCCAGCCGGCACAGGCACACGGGCCACCTCGCCTCAGCCCCACCCAACACTGCTCACCCATCACACCACCCCCTGCTCCAACGAGCCCTGACACAGCCTGAGACCCCTCAACCAGCACTGCTGGCAGTCAAGTCCCTTTCATCAGAGACGGCGTGAAACCTTGAGCCCAATCGTGCCCCCGCCCTTGGCTGTAGGACACCGGGCACTATCTGATCATTTCCTGCATCACTCGGGGACCCCCGGAGCCAGGGACCACGGCCTCTCCTTTCCTAGTCCTCCCAGCCCCTGTAGCCATGCTGGCGTGAGGAAGGGAACCTGGGACTCTCTGTGTGACCTTGAGCAGTGACCTCTCGCCTCCGTTCTCTCGTCTGTAAAATGGGGATGGTACTCCCACTCCTGCTGTGACAGATGGAGGAGGCAGCATCTATACTGCAGCATCTGGCACAGCCACCCGGATGCTCAACACCAGCTTCCTCAGATGCCCTATCCCCGGCCCCTGCACCCATACCAGACGAAGAGGAGCCCCCTCCCACACTCCCAGGGGAAGCCCACCATACCTGGTGCCTGCCACTGCCCCATCGTTCTTCCCAAGGGGCTCGTCCAGCTCCACGCCACACCACTCGCCCTTGGCAAAATCTGTCTCCCCCACATACCGCACCACGCCAGTCTTCGTCCCGCCAACCTGTTGGCACATAGAGAGACTCAGGTCCAAAGGATGCAGTGGGCACAGGCAGAGATGGTACGAGCACCCAGGTGCCCAGGCTCACCCCATCCCTCCCTTCCAGTATGCAGGGGGGAGGGGAGCCAAAGGTCAGGAGGAGGAGAGGCCAAGGGACAGCTGGAGGGATACGGGTATAGCCAGTGCATCCAGGGCTGTCCCACGCAAGAGCTTTGGAGACAGACAGACCCTCACTCAAACTCTGCCACTTACAAGCTGTGTGAGCTTAGGCAAGTGACCTAACCTCTCTGAGCTTCAGTATCTTCAACTCTAAGAAGAGTTTTTGTGAGGATTAAGCACTGTATGTGCAGTGTCTGGCACATACTTGAGCCTCAACAAATGTTATCCTTAAATATGGTTTGAATGGTGCTTGCCAGGGGCTGGCGGTGGGAGGGGGAAATGGGGAGCTGTTGTTTAATGGGGATAAAAAAGATCTGTAGACCTGCTGCACAACGTGAAAGTACTTAACACACCACTGAACTGGACACTTAAAAATAGTTAAGATGGTAAATTTTATGTTACGTGTATTTTACTACACTAAAGAAAACCTCGCAGAACAGGCCAATAAGTGTTAATTAACTGTGAAAATAGTGTAGAATGTTTAAAATTAGTTATACATATACACACACATAAATCAAAGACACAAACAATTCCAAAGTCTTAGCAAGGCCTAGAAATTTCTCCTCCTCTCCCCAGAAGCAAACTCTTCAACTCTTTAAGCTAAGTTTTTTGGTCTTTACCCCCATATTTCTAAATGACATGCTTATTTGGCCACTTCTTGCTGTTTCGGTTTTGGGTAACATCCGTCACACTCCGAGCGAGGATGGGGAGCAGCGAGCTGCCTGTCACCACTGCCGCGTGCACACTCCCCGCCTCCCGCCCGCTCCACGCGGCCACGTCTTCGCCTTGCTCAGACTCCAGTTCACAGACTATGACTAAGCAACACCACTCCGAGATGAGCAGGGAGATGGCAGTTACTTTTCGTTTCCGGCACAAATTTTTCCCTACAGATAATAACTGTCTTTTAGGATTGTTGGTTTGCCTAGTTTTTTATTCAATGCTAATTCAACTCCAAACTCTTACTTCCATAGTCTCCATCTCCTGTCAGGATGTTCTGAGGCATTGGGAATTCCATCAGGTTCTTTCTGGAGAAGACCCTCCTGGCGCTATACGACCCACCCCAGGCTGGCCTGGCTGCCGGGCCCCTGCGGCCCCCGCCACCAGCACCCTGAAGAGTCCCTTCACCTCTCTCCTCGGCTAGGTCCTATTTCCAGGAGCCTACGTCTTCCTTTTTTCTTGGTTTACTCATTTATTTCAGTAGGGCACATCCTCCCATAGCTTTCTAAGAAAAAGTGCATGAAAAAATAAAATATTTTAGCCTTTGCAGGTGTGAAAATATTTTTTATTCTATCCTCACTTTTTTTTAAATTGAGGTAAAACACACATAACATAAAATTCACCATTTTAAAGTGTACAATTCAGTGGCTTTTGGTACACTGACAACCATCACCACTATCTAATTCCAGAACATTCTCACTACCCTAAAAAAGCCCCCATACCCAATAGCAGTCACTCACATTCTCCCCTCTCCCCAGCTCCTGGCAATCACTGGTCTACTTTCTGTCTCTACAGATTTGCCTGTTCTGGACACTTGCTATAAATGGAGTCATACACTCTGTGGCCTTTTGTGTCTGGCTTCTTTCACTCAGTGTCATGTTTTCAAGGTTCATCCATGTTTATCAGTGTGAGGACTTCCTTCCTTCTCATGGCCGAATAATACTCCATTGTATGGCTCATCCCACGTTTTATTTATCTCCTCATACCCTGGTGGACACCTGGGTTGTTTCCGCTTTTCAGTCATTACGAATGATGTTGCTATGAACATTCACGTACAAGTCGCGTGAACACCTACTTTCCAGTCTTACTATTCTCACTCTGGAGACTTTGGCTGAGTCTCTTCCTTCAGGATTTCGGAGGCTCCCTGTGTGTGTCCTAAGTGTCCAGCGTTGCTGTTGAAAAGGTCAAAGCCATCCTGAGTCCCGATCCTTTACGTGAGCCTGTCTTCCACCCTGGACACCCGAGGGCGTCCTCCTCGTCCCACGCTTGCGCAGGTTCACGATGCGGCACGCTGGTGCGGCCTCTTCCCGACCCTTCTCCTTGGCTCCAAGGGCTCTTTCAACCAAGAAGCCCTCGTCAATCCTGGGAAATGTTCTTGAACGACTTATTTTTATGACTTACTGCTTCCTGTCCTCCGTTCTCTTTCTGCAACCAGTGTCATTTGGAAGTCAGACCCTACTACACAGTTTCTCTGACAGTCTTACTTTTCTCTCCCGTATTTCCTTCAATTTACCTTCTAATAATTCTGTGGCGTTTCTTATATCCGTAAATCATATTCACAGATCCCATGGTGTTCTGTTCCTTCTCAATGCCTGTATTGCCTTCTCTTACTTCTCAGGGGACTGGCCATTTCCCCAGAGAAGCTTCTCGAGCCCTCCACTATGGAGGGCACAGGCTCAGCAGCCAGTGTCCCGGAAGCCGAGTGGGGGAGAAGCCAGTGGGGAGAGGGGCTCGGCCTTCAGGAGAGAAATGTTCATTTAATCCCTTTTCAGCCCAACCTGCCTGAGATTCCCTCATCCAAAGGCTGTCTCTGACCTCAGGAGACTAAGCGTCCGTCCCAGAGGTCTGTTGGACGGACAGGCAGAGGGGAGCAGGGGTGGGGTGGGGACTCTGAAGATGTTTCAATCAATTCTGTCTTTGGCGCGGACGTTGACCCCGTTTCCAGAGGCCACCACGCGGCTGAGCCCCGAGCCTCTGGGGTTGCTGAGGGAACGTGGAACGCTCCTCTGCTCCCCTGCTGCCTGTGGACCTGGCTGCGCTGGTCCAGTGTCAGTGCTGCCGTCTCCTCCCTGCTCTCATTGTCCTCGAGGGTTTAATACCTTTTTTTAAAAAAAAACCCCTTCACTGTTGTTCTAGGGCAGGTTCAGGAGAGAATGAAGATAAATATGTTTATCTGAACCTCAACAGGACTTCCTAAATGTGCCCTTCTCTGACACCTCAGAGTATGCCTCAGGTGTGCCTGAGAGGGATCAGCTCCCTAAGGAAAACTCACTCCACTCCCACTGCCTCTCAAGGACGGCCTATGTGCCAGGCAGGCTGAAGACACGGATTCTACACCTCGCCACTCGGAGGAGGGCAGCGTTGCCTGTTCTGGATAAGGAGACGGGGGTTCAGCGTGGTCAACAAGTGAAAGAGCCCCGCGGGCCTCACTCTGCTGCCTCCTCAGGCCCCGCTGGGCTCAACTGCCAAGGCCCCGCTCACCAGCCCAGGGGGTGCCGCCTCACCCCAGGCCTCAGAGCCTCTGGAGCCTCCCGCCCCTCCCCCTCCTTCAGCTCGAGAGCCACGCACGGACCCTCAGAGACGGGAGCAAAGCAGAAACTACAGGAAGGTTTCCAGAGGATGGGTCTGGCGCCTGACCCCTGCCCAGGTCCGCACAACCTCGGGACACTCACCTCCCCCAGGCTTCAGAGATTCCAGTGACCCCCCCCACCAGGAACCCCCACGTGCGCTGCCCCCCAGAGTGAGGAAAACTGCCCCTTCTCTATTTTTATTATATTTTAATCTTTTTTTACTTAAAAAAAATTCATGGACTTTATGTTTTAGAGCAGTTCTAGGTTTACAGAAAATTTGAGTGAAAAATACAGAGTTCCCACATATCCCCTCCCCTCCCCTCCAGCTGCCCCTTATCAACACCCCTCCTTAGCACGGAACATTAGTTACAATGACGAGCCAGGACTGATGCATTATTAACTAAAGCCCAGTTTACACCAGGGCTCCCTCTTGGCAGTGTACGTTCTGTGGGTTTTGGGAGATGCACAAGGACAGGTGTCCACCATCACAGTAACATACAGAGCCGCTGCACTGCCCTAAACCCTCTGTGCTCTGCCTGGTCATCCCTGCCTCCCCCTAAGCCCTGGCAGCCCCTGATCTGTTGACTGTCCCTAAGGTTCTGCCTTCTCCAGAATGTCAACAGTTGGAATCATACAGTATGCAGCCTCTTCAGATCGGTTTCTGTCACTTAGTAATGTGCATTTAAGGTTCCTCCATGTCTTTTCATGTTTTGATAGCTCATTTCTTCTCACGCTGAATAATATTCCATTGTCTGGGTGGACCACAGTTTATCTATCCATTCACCTACTGAAGGACATCTTGGTCGCGCCAAGTTTTGGCAGTTATGAATAAAGTTGCTCCAAACATCACGTGCAGGTGTTTGTCTGGACATAAGTTTTTCACCTCCTTCGGGTAAAAACCAAGTAGCGCCATTGCCCAATTGTACGGTAAGGGTATGCTTAGTTTTGTAAGAAACTGCCAGACTGTCTTCCCTGGTGGCTGCACCATTTTGTGTCCCCACCAGCAACGCCTGAGAGTTCCTGTTGCTCCACTAGGGGTTTGTCCCCTCATGTCCCCCCGCTGTGTGCCAGGCCCCAGTCTCCCCAGGGTTGAGCCCTCACTCCCTTTCCACCACATGGGGGTGACCTGTGGGCCTGGAGTCCCTCTTGGCCTGGCAAACACCAGCCAGACGCCAGGCCCCACAGAGCAATGGTGGGGGACAGGCTGAGTTCCTGTCTCAGGGACTTTCCTGGGAGGAAGTCAACACTGGTGACTCACTCAAAATAAATGCACGTGTCTATTAGCTCAGGGTCCTGCCCCCACAGCGAGAGGACAGGGCCTGGGAGCTGTGCAGCCGTCGTAGGGCTGCTGTGAGGGTCCACCGAGGGGCTCCTGTCTGAGGCCTGAGCAGCACCTGCGGGGGCGCTGGGGGGAGTGGGGGCTGGCAGGAGGGAGGCCGGCCAGGAGATGGGCACGTGGCAGCGGCCTGGGGCCATCTTCAGGGAGATGCGGGGACAGAGGCAGGCAGCCCCTCGCTGGCACTCCTTGACAATGTCCTCAGCTGCTGAGCTGCACAG